CTCCCCCTCCCCCTTTCTCACTTTTCTTTTATTTCTCGCCCTCAGCTTATCTTTTGTTTAAGGGCTACTACATCCAAGGGGAGATAAAACCATCTGGGCTGTTCACGACCGACGGCTGGTACCGGACGGGAGACAGAGGCCTTCTGGACGCCCAAGGAAACTTCTGCTGTTATGGTCGGTCCGGTGACGTCGTATCTGTTGGAACAGCCCTTGTTTACACCAGCTGGCCCGAGTCGGTGCTCTGTAAATCCCCGGATGTTGTCGATGCTGTGGTTACTGCTTTACCGGACGCAGACGAGCGGGGACAGTTATGCGCATGCGTAATCACTCGAGCAGGAAGTGACGTAGATGAGGCTCGGTTAATCGATTTCTACAGGAACTCCTTTATGTCTGCTGATGACAACTCGAAGGGTTTTTATCCGAAGCTACATAAGATCTTCTTCTTTGATGAATTCCCTCAGACAAGCTCTGGGAAATTGTACAAGAAAAAGTTGATTTCTCTTATCGAGGAGAGAGTTCGCGGTCAGTGATTTCTTGGTGTGTGCGTGTGTTGACTTTTGAGTTGAGATAGTTTCTGTGATTTCGTCCAGACAATCTACCGTCAGAATCCAAACAAACTGTTAAAGCTGAGCAATTGTGCTAGTGAATTTCCGATCGTAACTTTTGTTCTGTTTGTTTGTTTTAGTAGGTTTTGCAACATTTGCAGAACCTAACAACAAAGGTAACGAAAGGAGGAAAATGGAAAAAAGAAGGAGAAGTAACAGTTTAAAGAGGCATGACAGTGAAAGTAAATAAGGCTATTTCAGAACAGGTTCATGCATGACGGACCCTAATTCTGACCGCAATAATGATGATAACGGCAAAAGAAGGCGGGAATGCGAAAAACAAGGTCATACCCTTAAACAATCAATCTAGTAGCCTAATTGCTGACAATCACCTTACATAGCCAAAATCGGGTAGTTCTCCTTGATTTCGTCTGCAAGATTTCCGTTTCCAGTCCGTTGGAATCCCATTATCCAGTGCCTTTGGGAAATCCCTTTGTTTACCAGTGCCTTTAGGGAATTCCATCTATTAACCAGTGCCTTGAGGGAGAGCCCAATGTAATGTATAAAGTGCAGAAGCCTGCTTAAATGTCCCTTAGATTTCATGATCTACCTGAACGAAGGAAAGAGAGATATCCGCAATGTCCTTTTCCGGAAGCTGAAAACGTCCTTAAATGTGGAAAGCATGTCAGTTTAAAGGCATCAGGCAGTCAACATGCGATTTCAAAATAGATATGACAATATTACATTAATATGCTTATTAGACTTGATTTACTGCATTAAGTGATCATTCTTTTTTCGGTGCCTGGCTCTAATTTTGTGCCTGCCGAATTGGGTCAAACGCTATTTTTGTATCCGATTATGTTATTCACAAAATTGTAATTGCAGTTGATGATTTTCCAAAATCCTTATAAATAACAAGACGGAAAGCAATGCTTTTTCACTTTTTCTAAAAATCAATGTTTATGCTCATACATAGTAATCGTCAGACATCAGGGATTTGCTATGTTGACGCAGTTTTTCCATTGAAAGTTGTATTTCTTTTGGTTTTGTGAAGTTATGACCACTTCTGCTTAGAAGCAATGTAAATTATGTGTCTGCGTCTTTTCATACAAAATTGTTACAAAAAGATTGAACTTTAAGCCACTACACAAAAAAACATACATTTGACATTTCCAGTGAAACCCTTCGTCAGCACACACACTCACACACTCACACACACACACACACACACACACACACACACACACACACACACACACTCACTCACTCACATACACAAACACACACTTACGTACACACGCACACACGCACACACACATGCACACACGCACACAAATGCGCTCTTAGAATTTCAATAGTACACTACGTGTTTTGTTTTAGTAAGGGTTTTTACTGCACTTGCAACTCAATTAGGTCAAATAAAAACGAAAATTAGAAGTGTTACAAGAGAGTAACACACACACAAAAAGAGGAGAGGTAAGGGCGATATATGTTTAATTGGAAAGAAGGAGGAAACCACATTAACTGAGCACCCATCAACCACCCACAATTTATTGTGTGAAGCAGGACTTCTCCGGCAATGAACATGGGCAGTTTTAAAAGGTCCTTGGTGTGTTCGAAGTGTAAATAGTATGTCTAGTTTTGTTGTTGCTGTTGTTGTTTTTTAATTAAGCGCGAATGTAATGTACGTATTGTGTTCTATGACTCATGCCCGTCATATTGTTTATATTATGCAGTGTGTGCAAAATACATCGTGGCTTGAATATTAAACTGAATTTAAAAACACTTTTCGTTTCGCATTGCATGTCTATCGGTTGAATTACCATGTTATGTGAAAGTAAGGACTTCAGCGAACTAGTGTATTGGAGAGGGCCTAGTATGGTGTGCTGATATGACTCTTTATGTGTATATTTTGAGTCGCAGATGCTGGTTAATTATTTCTTGCTGACAATTTATTCTTCCAATGGAGAATAGATAACGTGTATCTAATATTTCTGTATCTTCGAGATTTAGCCACGGAGTAAATACGAAAAATATTGTTTGCAGACCCATGAAGTTTGTTGAAGGAAAAGTAATTTAAATAGAGAAATGATTTGTTTCATAGTAAAAAAAAAAGAGAGAATAAAAAGGTTAAGCCACCTGTTACGAATGTCACCTAGCCAGCCAACCAGCCAGTCAGCCTAGAGAGCTTTTAACACTTATAGAACTTGTACTCTGCTGTAAAGGAAGAGATAGACCACGCTAAAATTAATTGAGGAAGTCGAGGAAAGTCTGAGAAATTACGATATCCCACTTGAAAGAGCAGCAGAGCTGGCCTACCGTAGAAAACTGCATCTCCCCTCGACGCCGGCAACAATAGAGGAAGTCAAAGTAAAGTAAATATTGATCCGTTTTCACACATCACGATGGTAATGTGGAAAGGTGGCAGTAGGATAATGACGTTGAAAGGCAATGTTGACGTTGAACGGGTATGGTTATGTTGAAAGGTGATCGTGATGTTGGAAGGTGGAGGTGATGTTGAAAGATGATCGAGATGTTGAAGGAGACGATAATGTTGCATTGTGACGGTGTCGTTGAAAGTAACGGATCGAACACAACTAGTGGCAAAAACATCTATGGCAAAACAAGTTCACAGAAAACAAGTGTGGTCGTTTAGAACGTATCCGACCCTATCACCCTAAGTACAAATCGAGTCATTCAATACCACACTTTTAACTCAATAAGGAAGTAATGGACCCGTGACCAGAGTGCACGCCCCGTCCTCAATGAAATAAGCGGTGAATTGGTAGAGAGAGGGGTGGGATGGGGTGGGGAAGGGGATTGAACAAAGAGCACACTGGGCATTTTGGTTAGACGAACATCTTCTCCAGAGGTCGTACATGAATAGACGTTACTTTAAAAAAATGGTTGCTGTTTTATGCCACCGTTTTCGAAAGTCAGATAGGAGGAGGAGGAGGAGGAGGAGGAGGACAACGTGGAGGAGGAAGAGGAGGAGGAGGAGGAGGAGGAGGAGGACAACGAAAAAGAAGAGGGGAGGAGGCAAAAGAAAAGGAGGAAAGTAGGACCAAGACGGGGATGAGTTGGGGGTGGGGGTGGGGTGGGAGGGCGTATAGTTCAACAAAGGTGTAAGTACTTACCATGCCACTGAGCCTTCCACTGATGCGCGTGAGATTTGGTCGTCTTCATCCACGGAAAGGGCAGAGGTTGTTGTTGCTGTTGCTGCTGTTGTTGTTGTTGCTGTTGCTGCTTGCTGTTGTCGCCGGTGGAATCCACATTGTGTCCCTGAACCCGTGAGCTGGGAGTCTGTACCATGCCTTGAGTGTGAGCCGGTGGAGGTTCGCATCCCGTCGGTAGCCCCGAGGCAAGAGCGGCGTGTGTGTCTATGTGAGGTACCGAACCAGAGGTCAGGTGGGCGGGGATAGGGGTGGAGGCGGACCCGGACGGGGAGACGCTTAGTGGAGGGTGAGGGGTGGTGGTGCTCGGGTCTAACAGGGACGGGTGAGCCAGCACCCCATTGTTGTTTGTGGTTTGGTTGCTAGGCAACCCGCTGTGGTGGTGAGAGTGTTGATGCTGTTGTTGTTGCTGTTGCTGTTGTTGTTGATGATGATGGGGATGGTGATGTTGGTGTTGCTGGTGTTCTTGCTGTTGCTGTTGTTGACCGCAGGAGCTTGGGTTTCGGTGGTTCAGCACAAGCCCGTTCATACCCCCGTGGTGTAGTTGCTGCTGCAGCTGCTGGTGGTGTAGTTGCTGGTTGTGAAGGTGCTGATGGTTGTGGGGGTGGTGAGGATGGTGTTGTAGATGCTGAGAGAACGCAGGGTGTAACTCCATCTGCTGCTGCTGATCTACCACAGACATCGTCTGGCCGCCAAAACAATCTTGGTTTTGTGCGCATGCGTAGAAACACGCAGGGGGTTGTGACGTCAGAAACCCGTGAGAATAAGCGCCTCCTGAGGCAGCCTCGCCCAGACCTGGGCTAGAGAAGTCACGTGGGTACATGGCGGCGGCGTAGAAGGGGCTGTGGCCATCCATAGTGGACGACATCTAGCGAAGTGGTCAAGTCTGTCGATAGAGTTTAAGAAAATGCTGTAAGGCTTTATATTCTTATCGCAAAACGATGCATGATAATTAATTGTAGGTGTCTTACACCCCCACTTTTCCCCATTTAAACCATCTTTTGGGAAGCGAGTTGCTACGACCCTGTGCATCAGGACCAATCCGGGTTGAGAGGGATACACCGACCCAAAAGAAAGACGGAGATACTCGATAAAAACATTCCCCTCTCGGGAATCGAACTCATATTTCCTGCGTGCGAAGGTCAAAAGCTACACGACAGACGCTGGTCTCAAAATCTTGGGAAAATACTTAATGGTTGACGCTTTACAAGTTTAATAGGCATGTTCGTCATTGTAGATCAAATTTCACCAGTTTCTGATTATTGTTGAAATTGTGCTGTGTTTATCATGAGAAAATGCAAGACCTTTTTTTCCAAAGCTCAAGTAAACTGGAAATAGAAATCGAGGAAGACCAACTGCAAGCTTTAGAAGCGCAAAAGGTGAGGCAGTCACTCTGGACCTGGATTTACCGAAATTGGGAGACGTAGCCAGGGACATACAAGCGTGGTGTCGACTGCTCTCCGCCTTTTGTACCTTACGGTATAGGGAGAGAGTAAGTAAGTCAAATGAAACTAGGCTATTCGAGCCCTTTGCAAAATATCCCAACATAAAACGAATAGGGCATCTGCAGATACAAGCATTCGAAAAGGCTGCTATTACAAACGTTTTGCGCCATCATCGACACAATTGATACAATTCAGGAGACGTTATGGTGCTTCGTCAGCCTTGCCTATCAGGGTCAACCCAGACCTATTAAGATAACACATCCCAACAGACAGACAAAAGACGGAGATACTCGATGGAATGACTTCTCTGTCCGTAAATCGAACCTGGCACGTTCTCTGCGTGCAATAGTGACGGACCTAACAACAACACCAGGGTTGCCGGTGAAAGAGCTGTTAAAAAGGGTGTATTCTTGAATATGTATTTTTAGGTGTTTTTCCAAACCTGACAATGCGTATAATTATAGTGGACAATGCGTATAATTATAGTGACAAATCCAGAAGAGAGAGAGAGAGAGAGAGAGAGAGAG